GGCCAAGAAGGTCAACGGCATCCTGGCTTGTATGAGAAACAGCGTGGCCAGCAGGAGTAGGGAAGTGATCGTGCCCCTGTACTCAGCACTGGTGAGGCCACACCTCCAGTACCATGTTCAGTTCTGGGCCCCTCACTACAAGAAGGACATTGAGGTGCTGGAGCATGTCCAGAGAAGGGCAAAGAAGCTGGTGAGAACAAGTCTTATGAGGAGCAGCTGAGGGAGCTGGGGCTGTTTAGTCTGGAGGAGACTGAGGGGGGACCTTATTGCTCTCTACAACTACCTGAAAAGAGGTTGTAGTGAGGCAGGTGTTGGTCTCTTCTCCCAGGTAACTAGCGATAGGACAAGAGGCAATGGCCTCAGGTTGCATCAGGGGAGGTTTAGATTGGGTATTAGGAAAAAATTCATTACTAAAAGAGTGGTCAGACATTGGGAACAGGCTGCCCAGGGCAGCGGTGGAGTCCCCATCCCTGGAGGTGTTCAAAAAATGTGTAGATGTGGCACTTCGGGACATGGTTTGGCAGGCGTGGCAGTGTCGAGGTGAAGGTTGGACTTGGTGGTCTGAGAGGTCTTTTCCAACCTTAGTGATTCTATGAACCAGTTTCGAGGCAGCCTTTGCTACTGAAGGGGCTGGGCAAGAGTAATACAGCAAATCCTGTCCTCTTGCCCCCCACCACCTTCGCAAACCCCCTCAACGGCTTTGGAGGAAGAGTATTGGATGATCAACAAAATCCAAAATCACCTGCAGAACACTTTATTCAGAGGCAAAATAGTGTGATGAGGACAGACAATTTAAAAGAAGAAAAACTGCTGTAGGGGGTTAAGATTCAAACAGTTTGTTTAATACAGCAAATCCTGTCCTCTTGCCCCCCACCACCTTCGCAAACCCCCTCAACGGCTTTGGAGGAAGAGTATTGGATGATCAACAAAATCCAAAATCACCTGCAGAACACTTTATTCAGAGGCAAAATAGTGTGATGAGGACAGACAATTTAAAAGAAGAAAAACTGCTGTAGGGGGTTAAGATTCAAACAGTTTGTTTCTCCTCACAGAACCAGTCAGTCCCCCCAGCAAGCATGGAGATGTCCCTGAGTCCATGGGACATGGCTGTCCTTTCTTCTACAAAAAACAGGCCTTGTTCATGCACTTTCCCTCTTCTTGAGTGAAAAAATAATCTAAAATAAAATTACTGTACAGATGGAGAAACAGGCATTGTAATCTGAAAGAGAGAAATAACTCCTGTGACTATTACAGCTCCTCCCAGGCACCAGAGGACACAATAAGGCACATCTTTGTATCTAAACACTAAAATTCATTACTATTCTATTGAAACTTAATAGGCACCTGGGAAGAGAAACTGATTTTGCAAGAGGAAAGCTGCTAAAATTGATCTGCATGATTCGATTGTGTCACAGCTGGTAATCTTTTATGACAACTTTTGCTAGGCATATTTGGCCTTTTTTTTTTTTTTTTTTTTTTTTTTTTAAGTTACAACACTT